TGTGGATGCTATCCTCTCCCACGCTGTTGTGCTCCCGTCGGCTGTTATTCTCCTCTGTCTAGTGCCTTGCAGGGTCCACAAGTAGGTGTTGTGGCCGTTGACCTGTTCCGGCTAGCACAGCTGTTCGCGACGTCGGTATTGTTGTTGTAAAATGATTACTGGTCGTGTTAACAAAGTATGTTTGGATTTGCACTCAGGTGCTGATATCTCTGTGCAAACCCAGAATAGATGCAGATACTTTTCTTTTGGTGTGAGTGCTGATATTTGGGCCTTGGTGTTGCTGTAGGTACCGATTTCTATTTTCCGGTGCGTTTGGATGTGCGATGCAGCTGGCGGTGGTTGACTCCGGATATCCAAGTATTCACCAATTTGCCAGCGAGTTTTTTTTCTTAATTTGGGTTTCCGTCGCCGTAAAAAAATGGAGGGAGGCCCTTTGGCTTTCTCAGCAGGCGACCTGAAATGACCAAAACTTCATTTAGAATTCACGTACATACATATGTATTTAACTTTGAAAATATTAATTAGTAGAGTGAAATTAGCACAACTCTGGCGATTTTTTTTTTCTTTTACAACATTTTTAATGCACTGTATTGCTACGCTTAGGTTTAACGTTTGTGCCCTTTTTCTTTTCTTTACAGAAATATACATACATACATACATATGTGCATTTATGTATGCATATTTTAGATGCCAAATATATAACTTACTTAGGACTTACCTCCAGTTCCAAGTGATGATTAGGGGCACTTTAGAAACGTTTTCCCTTAATTTTATTCCCACACAGCACTTTTTAAAATAACTCACTGTTAATTACCACTTTAAACAAATTTTATATATATATATATGTGGGAATATATTCTGAAGCTTACATTCAACAAGAAGAAGACGTGAACAGCCATGTATCGACGAGAAGACGATGAAGACGCAAGAGAGAAGACGATTGGAAAAACGACGAAAGACGAGGGGAGTTGAACGACGGCGATTAAACCGAAAAGACGTGTCGGCGAGAGTTTGCTAATTCAATTTGAAGAAGTGCCATTTAAATACTTTTGTATTCTCAACTATTAATCTTAATTACTTAAATAAAACAACCTACATTTTGGGGGCTCGTCCGTGTGTGTGTGAAGTGAAATGGCTTGCCTGAACGACCTAATTAGTGACAATTTGCGCTTGTGCAAAAGGCCAAGCATATCGGCTTTGCATAAATTTGTATTCGGCTACGAGGGCGACCGAAATAATCGCCAACGGTTGCGCGAGTTTGTTGGTTTCGGTTTCACCGAACAAAGCGCGGAGTATAACGAAAAAATTAAATACGTCGAGAATAACCTAACCCAAGCCGATCTCGTATCAATATGCAATGTGTTGGGTATTGGGCATAATCAGAGGTGGGCACTACCACAAACAAGCGTGAGCTAAAAGTCAGCATGTGTTAGTGTACCTAATTCATTTTGCATGCTGTCGTGTTCTCATCGATGCGCTCTCGCTTGTATACGTACACGCAACGCTTACGCTCTTTTAGCACCTGCTAACTCTCTGCCCATGCCTGGGCATAATGGTGAGCAGTTGGCTGTTGGAATTTTTCGCAACTTACAACAGGGCAATTTGTTAAAGCGTGTCAGGCACGATGGCGATGCTGAGATCGACGAATCGAGCGACGACGAAGCGTACGAAGACATGGCGAGCGCAAATAACACAGCCATAGTGAACCAGCTCACTACCACATTAACGCATGCGCAAAGCAAAGCGCCGCAACATAGCATCAACAACGGCAACGACAGCGGCGGTAGCAGCAACAGAGCGATGAGCAACGAGAGTGAGGGAACGATGGCAGCACGCTTTGCAATCAGTTTTCGCGACATAGAGGAGAGTATTCGCAATTTCGACGGCACAAATTCTATTGCAGTAGAAGTATGGATAGAAGAATTTGAAAATCAAGCAGAACTAATGCGGTGGAGTGATTTTCAGCGGTTTCTTTTTGCGAAGAAGGCACTAAAAGGAATCGCGAAATTGTTTGTAGCGAGCGAACGAGGGTTGAACTCGTGGAGTGTACTGAAAGCAGCGCTGCTATCAGAATTTAAATCTAACGTAACCAGCAAGCAAATACACGAGACACTCGCTCAAAGCAAACGTGGTAAAAACGAATGTGTGTTTGAATTTTTTTATCGTTTGAAAGACATTTCGGCTCGTGGACATATTGACGACGATGCTTTTGTTCAGTATGTAATTGACGGAATAGACACAAAAACAACAAACAAAACCATTTTATACGGCTCAAAAGACATGAGAGAATTTAAGGAGAAATTAAAGATGTACAAAATAATGACCGAAAAAGAAAAATGTAGTGCTGAAACTCCAGTGCGCGTTCAAGCAAATGCAAAGAGAGAGGCAAAGGAGTTAATGTGTTTCAATTGTGGCGACAAAGGCCATGTATCGAAAAATTGTGATAATAAAGAGAAGGGCAGAAAATGTTTTGGTTGCAATTCATACGGCCATATTGCAAAAAATTGTAGCACAAAGAAAACAAACGACCCAGTGAGAAAAGTTAACACTGTTAGTGCCAAAAACGACATAATGCGTAAAACTATAAATATTGGAAGTTATAGTGTTTTAGCATTGTTCGACACGGGCAGTAGTGCTAACATAATGAGCATCGATGTTTATAAAAAGTTAAATAGTGGACAACTAACTGAGTGTGCGGTACAATTGACCGGTTTTGGTAAAGCAGCCAATATTAAGCCCCTGGGTGAACTAAAGCAAACCATAATAGTAGACGACGAAAAGTTCGGTTTAACGTTTTATGTTGTACGTGCTGAATATCTTGACGATAGTATCATAATTGGTGCGGACATTTGTTTAACCGCCGAAATATTAATTAATCCGTCGGGTTTGAAAATAAGAAAACTAACTAATGCTAATCAAAACGAAGAACTATCAGTGTTTAATATAGACGTAGCTTGCGAAAGTGAAGATATCGACATAGGCGATAACGCGAGTCTATCAGCTAAGCAAGAAGTGCGGGAACTTATACAAAATTATAAACCTTTAAAATCGAAAACTACAAACATTGAAATGCGAATTATTTTGAAAGACGAAACACCAATATTTTCGCGACCGCGTAGAATGGCGTTAACAGAACAAAGTATTGTTGACGACCAAATCGAAGAATGGCTTGAGAAAAACATTATTGAAGAATCGAACTCCGAGTTTACAAGTCCTATAGTTCTCGTTAAAAAACATGATGGTTCGGCAAGACTTTGCGTTGACTTTCGCAGAATCAACAAGGTAATTGTCAAAGATCATTTCCCTTTACCGCTTATAGAAGATCAGTTAGACAGATTACAAGAGGCTAAGGTTTTTAGCACCATCGATCTTAAGAACGGATTCTTCCACGTACCTGTAGCTGAATCAAGCCGAAGGTACACATCTTTTGTAACGCAAAACGGCCAGTATCAGTTTCGAAAGGTGCCGTTTGGACTTTCCAACTCACCAGGCGTATTCCAGCGACATGTTAATGCCATTTTTCGACATCTGCGGCGTAAGGGTATTGCTTTACCATATGTCGATGATGTCATAATTCCTGCTACAAATGAAGAAGAAGCTGTCCAAAATCTCAAAGAAGTCATCGAGGCATGTGAAGAGTATGGGTTAGAGCTGAATATGAAAAAATGCAATTTTTTGAAAACGCGTATACAGTTTCTTGGTCACATAATTGAGAATCAAAAGCTGTATCCATCTCCGGAGAAGATTCAAGCAGTAGTTAACTTTAAGGTACCGCAAACATTGAAGCAGCTAGAAAGTTTTCTGGGGTTGACCGGGTACTTCAGAAAGTTTATCCCGAACTACGCAATAATTTCGAAGCCGTTGTCAGAGTTGACCAAAAAGAGCATAAAGTTTAGCATGGGTATAGAGGAAGAGGGTGCGGTTAATCATTTGAAAAAGCTTCTAACCGAGAATCCAGTGCTCAGCATTTACAATCAGTCGTACGAAACTGAGGTGCATACAGACGCTTCTATAGACGGGTTTGGGGCAGTTTTGCTTCAAAAATCACCGGTAGACAGCCAGTTGCACCCGGTGTATTTTATGAGCAAAAAGACTACAGAAGCACAACGAAAGTATACCAGCTATGAATTAGAAATACTCGCAGTCATAGAAGCCCTGACGAAGTTTCGCGTCTACGTGTTAGGCGTCCACTTTAAACTAGTCACTGACTGTAATGCCTTTACTAAAACCCTTGAGAAGCAGAGTTTGTGTACGAGGGTGGCTCGCTGGATCCTTTTCCTTCAAGAGTACGACTATACCGTTTAGCATCGTGCTGGCACGCGTATGAAGCACGTAGACGCGCTCAGCAGGTATCCAGTGTTGGCGATAAGCGAGCATAACATTTGCAGGGGCATTGAACAAGCACAGGCTAGCGACGAAAAATTAAAAGCGATAAAAGAAATTATCAAAGACAACACAAAAACATACGACGACTATTTTCTTAAAGCCGGTATTTTGTACAAGTTAGTTAACGACGTCGAGTTACTAGTAGTTCCGAAATCTATGCAGAGGCAGATTATCGGAAAAGCACATGACAGAGGTCATTTCGCAGCTAAAAAAACGAAAGAGCTGATTTGCAGAACGTATCACATACCACGTTTAGATGAAAAAATTCAAGAGTACATCGAGTGTTGCATTCCGTGCATCATCATAAATCGAAAACGAGGCAAACAAGAGGGGTTTTTACATCCACTGCAGAAGGAAGACGTACCATTGTTTACTTATCATATAGACTTTTTGGGTCCGTTAGAGTCAACACATAAAGACTACAAACACATTTTGTCCGTCATCGATTCTTTCACGAAATTTTGCTGGCTGTATCCAACAAAAGCGACAACGTCCAGCGAAGTAATTACACGTCTTAATAACCAGAGTGCGGTGTTTGGCAATCCAGCGTACATCATCTCGGACAGGGGTTCTGCTTTTACCTCTCAAGATTTTTTGAAATATTGCGAAGCAGAAGGCATCAAGTTGGTAAAGACTACAACAGGACTACCACGCGTGAATGGGCAAGTGGAGAGACTGAATGCAGTCATTATTTCAGTACTCTCTAAGCTCAGCATCGACGATCCATCCAAGTGGTACAAGCATGTCAGCAAAGTACAACAAGCGATCAACTCAACATTCTGTAGAAGCATTGCTACGACTCCGTTTGAATTACTGGTTGGTACGAAAATGCGAACCAACCAAGACCTTCAGTTACAAGACTACATCAACAAAGAAATTTTGGCTACGTTCACTGACAAACGAAATGATTTGCGAGCACAGGCGAAAACTAGTATTTTAAAATTACAAAGCGAAAACAAGAAGACCTATAATCTTCGACGAAAGAGTGCAACGCGATATAACGTTGGTGACCTTGTAACCATAAAACGAACACAGTTTGGTAGCAACCTGAAACTACAGCCAAAGTTTTTGGGCCCCTACCAAATTGTTAAAGTTAAGCACAACAATGCGTATGACGTACAGAAGATGGGCAGTAGTGATGGTCCGAAAAATACAACTACTTGCGCAGAGTATGTAAAACCCTGGCCCAGGGTTGGCGACGACATAGATAGCGATGAAGCATTCGGGGCGAATACTTAATCAGAATGGCCGAATGTGGGAATATATTGTGAAGCTTACATTCAACAAGAAGAAGACGTGAACAGCCATGTATCGACGAGAAGACGATGAAGACGCAAGAGAGAAGACGATTGGAAAAACGACGAAAGACGAGGGGAGTTGAACGACGGCGATTAAACCGAAAAGACGTGTCGGCGAGAGTTTGCTAATTCAATTTGAAGAAGTGCCATTTAAATACTTTTGTACTCTCAACTATTAATCTTAATTACTTAAATAAAACAACCTACATATATATATTTTCCTTTTGGTATCGTAACTTCTTAGTCACAGCCTAACGCTTCAGCACCGCAACTTACGTTTTTTTGAAACCGTTTTCTAAATGTTGGTCCTTTTTATATTTTTTTCTGCCAAGTGACCATACCGTATTATGTACTTACTTATGTACAATTACATAAAGAAAAACACGGCTTAAGCCGAACTTTAACACACATACACACGTACACTCATGACGGCCTCACCGAACCATAAGCTAGCAAACTTTCTCACTCCAACACATTACTTTCTTTTCTGCATCAATTGGTCAACACAGGTTTGATTGGCTTGTAGTTTTGTATGTTCGATCAAGTTCGCACGCATACAACCAAACGCACACTAACGTATGTGGCAAACAGCTGGCGCTACAAACCATAAGTGGGCGTGGCTACGCCCATTTTCCAAAAATTTATAATATTCTTATTTTTCGTCTAAAAATTATTGCAAATATCAATTTTAAGTGAATTATCTTCAGTAGTTACTAAAATATCGCAGTTTTCGTATTTCTGGAAATTACCGTTATATGGGAAGTGGGCGTGGTTAAAGTCCGATTTCGCCCATTTTCAATACCAACCTACCTTGGATTAAGGGAAACCTACATACCAAATTTCGTTGAGATATCTCAATTTTTGCTCGAGTTATCGTGTACACGGGCGGACGGACAGACGGACAGACGGACGGACAGACAGACATGGCTTAATCGATTTCTTTTTTCATCCTTATCATTTATGTATACATTTGTCTATATCTATCTCGAATCGTTTTGGCTGTTACAAACAACCGTTATGTGAACAAAATTAATATACCCTTGTGCACAAGTGCGCTCGGGTATAAAAACTCTGGAGGACAATGATTTTCCGGGGAAATTAATTAAAAAGCTTATTCGCAACTACTATGTTCGTCCGAACGAAGGAAAGTAAAATGATGATTCAAATAAGAAAATTTACAAAACAGCAACTTATGTCCCAGGATTATCAGAGAGAATCAAATTTTCCAATCTATATGATAAAGAGAACGTCCAATTTGTATTTACAAGCATGAGAAATCTGATGTAGTATACAGTATTCCATGTATTGGCGACGGGTCCCACGTATGCAAACAAGTATATGTGGGGACAACCAAATCCAAACTTAAGGCAAGGATTTCCGCTCACAAATCGAACGTAGAATTAAGGAATACTTACTCGGACAACAAGACGGCCTTGTCATTCCACTGTAAAGACACGGGACATTACCCTGATTTTGATAATGTGAGTGTCTTAGAGGAAGAGAAAAATTACCACAAACGCTTTATATTAGAAATGCTCCACATTGTGAACACCCCTAATGATAAAAGGATGAATTTCAAAACCGACACTGAAAACTGTTCACACGTCTACCGCAACATATACTTAAGGCAAAACAAATAATCCTAATATTGTTGTCTATTATTCGTTCCGTGTCCGAACTTCTCTAGATAACATTGCAATGCTGGATGATTTGCATACATATTTATGTCGTACGGCGTGCCGTCCAATGCAATGTTGTTTTTATGTTTTTTTGTTTACAATTATTGTTCTTTCATTTGTTTATATTTTTATGTCCATTTCGTCTCGTTGTTTGGTTTGTTAAATCTTTTGTTTTTTGCACACATTAGTGTACCAGGCGCAGCCGAATGTTTAAGTTGTGCTTATATATAGTATGTTGACAGTCTTTTATGCAATTTTTGTAATTAAGATATTTATTGCATTCCTGATGATGACTTCAGACTGAAANTTCCATGTATTGGCGACGGGTCCCACGTATGCAAACAAGTATATGTGGGGACAACCAAATCCAAACTTAAGGCAAGGATTTCCGCTCACAAATCGAACGTAGAATTAAGGAATACTTACTCGGACAACAAGACGGCCTTGTCATTCCACTGTAAAGACACGGGACATTACCCTGATTTTGATAATGTGAGTGTCTTAGAGGAAGAGAAAAATTACCACAAACGCTTTATATTAGAAATGCTCCACATTGTGAACACCCCTAATGATAAAAGGATGAATTTCAAAACCGACACTGAAAACTGTTCACACGTCTACCGCAACATATACTTAAGGCAAAACAAATAATCCTAATATTGTTGTCTATTATTCGTTCCGTGTCCGAACTTCTCTAGATAACATTGCAATGCTGGATGATTTGCATACATATTTATGTCGTACGGCGTGCCGTCCAATGCAATGTTGTTTTTATGTTTTTTTGTTTACAATTATTGTTCTTTCATTTGTTTATATTTTTATGTCCATTTCGTCTCGTTGTTTGGTTTGTTAAATCTTTTGTTTTTTGCACACATTAGTGTACCAGGCGCAGCCGAATGTTTAAGTTGTGCTTATATATAGTATGTTGACAGTCTTTTATGCAATTTTTGTAATTAAGATATTTATTGCATTCCTGATGATGACTTCAGACTGAAATCGAAATGTAGACGATTTAAAAACAACAAAAACAGATTGTTTTATTTCAACCCGGCCTTGAGCTCAAAAAAATCAACAGAATCTTCAATTAACGGTCGAATATAAATAAACAATGAAAATGAAAAACATTAATTTTATTATTATTCTAATGTTCGTAATGTAGATATTAAAGAAAATTGAAAAGATCCCTTTGGCCAAATTTTCAAAATCTGGTTTTACGTCAGTTAAGGCCGTTCTGTTAAATGTTGGTTAGTCAATAGGTACATTCGTTTAAAATCTCCAGTAAAAAATGTCCAACAGCAAAATTCCGGCGAAATGTCATCTATTCTCTCGCAAGAGAAAAATATCCAAAATAGTACGCGAACGGAAAATTTACAGAAACTTGCAAGTTAGACGAACAGCTGATAAAATTTTTTTTTACATTCAAAAGTATAAAATTTAAAACGTAAGAAAACCAATCCCGAAGTCTTATCCTGACACAGTTCACGGACTAAACGAATAATTACCTACTTCCTACAAGTTTTATTAGTCGCATTTTACTATTTTATCTTCTAAACCATCAAATTTAATTAAGGGATTAAGGCGTAAATTCCAACCAGCTGTTTTTGATCAGCTGTTTTCATGTTGGCAGATTGTTGTTGGCTAAAATTTTTGCAGCAGAAGCTAACAGCTTTCCCTCAAAATGAAATGTCATTTTGCGCTCTCAGTTTCCCCTATTTTGCAAGTTTTTTGCGTACGCGAACACAAAAACCTGATTTTTTATAATTTTTATTAATTATCAGGAACGCGAATGTAACTAATGGTAAACGGTACTGTGACTTTACGAAATTTACGCTACGCGTACACTGCAGCCAGCACCGGCCGAATTGTGCTCGGCCGATATCGGCTATTTGCGGGCGATATGAATAAACTCTTGATTATATGAGCGGTCTCACACATAAACCGATGACCGAACCGAAATCGGCCATTGACGTCCGTCAGTGATGATAAATTCAAACATGTTTGTTTTTCTCGTCCGATGTCAGGTGAAAAAAACCAAAATGGACTGCGAAAAATTAACTTGTTGGGTGCAAAAAAAATTCACATATAAAATCACATGTTTAGAGTATGTCAATTAAAATTTATCAAAATATTTCACTGCTTACAAAATTGAAATGAAAACTAGATTTGTGCGTACAAATGCGGTCGGAAAATAATCTGGTTAAGTGTTCGCATCAGTTCGGACGGTCAAATTGTTCGGCCGAAATCGGTCAGCCTATCAGATGCAATGTGCGCCTAGCGTTATACGTTGTACCAAAAATTGAAAATATACGACACGCAGCTGTTTTCAACAGCGGATGTTTTAAATCTGGTACTTGTTTCCGGAATTCAAGCAATGGCAAAGCTTTATGTTGCATTTCCAGTGCCCTATCTCCTTATAATTCAAAAAACTCCAACTCTTCTTCGCTTTTCTTAAAAAGGAGTATTTCGGATATTGTAAATTCATCCTCAGTTATATTACATAAAAAAGGGTCTATGAAGTATGCAAACGTACATTTAAATAATTTCAAATCAGCAAATATTTTTTCAAAATCGTCTTTTAAATCATGTGCAATATTTTTTCTAGCCATGGAAAATTATGAAATATTCTTTTTTTTTTTAGATCGTGAATAAAAAGACGTAGTTTAGCTTCAAAACTTAAAATAATTTCCGACAAATCAAAAACATTTTTATTCTTTCCATGTAGAGACAAATTCAAGTTTTGCAAATGTTCCATCATATCGGTAAAGAACATTAAGTCAGAAAGACAATTTTCATTCTCTAAAGTAAAAGGAGCCAAGCATAGATAAAAAGAGCCGCACCTTGCTAAGCAAAGAGCCGCATTTGGCTCAAAGAGCCGCGATTGCCCACCGTTGTTATATACAAACCAAGGCATAACAAATGACGGTGATACTTTGTTTTAACCGCAAGAACAAATGTACGAATTGAATTGGAGAATGTAATTTATTTTGTCGACCGCTGTGGTGTAGTGGTAAGCAGTGCGCGCTTCCACTCCGCAACGCCTGGGTTCAAGCCCTGGTCAAAGCAACATCGCAAATATAGAAAAAGGTTTTTTCTTAACAGCGGTCGTCCCTCGGCAGGCAATGCAAACCTCCGAGTGTATTTCTACCATGAAAAACAGCTTCTCATAAATATACAATCGCCGTTCGGAGTCGG